CCGCCCCCCCCCATCTTTTTAAAACAATTTTTTAGCTGTGGTGCATAGCTTGTGGGATATTAGGTCTGGACCAGGGATCAAACCCTGACAACAGCAGTGAAAACGTCTAGTCCTAACCATTGTACCTCCAGGGAATTCATCAACTCACCCTTTGTAAGTGTACAGTTAAGTAGTTTTTAACTGATTCTCACACTTGTGCAACTATCACCACTCTCTAATTTTAGAACATTTTTATCACTCCCCCAAAGAAATTCTGTACCCATTAGTCCCTCCTTGCCCTGGTCCCTGGCAACTACTGACTATGGATTTGTCTATTCTGAACATTTTTTACAAAAGGAATAATACAATATGTGGCCTTTTTTGTCTTCCTTCTTTAATTTAGCATGATGTTTTCAAGGTAAACGTTTCCATGTTTAGCAGGTATCAAATGTCATTACCTTTTATAGCTGAATAATAGTTCATTTTATAGAAGCACCTAGATATTTTTCATAGTTAAAAATTCAAGGAGAAAGTAGTTTTGATCTGTAGAGACCACTTAGTGGGTGAGAGAATCTGGAAAATCTTAATTTCTCTCTGAGAATGTTCCGTTTTACTGCATTTTGATTATTGTTCATCAGAGTCTCTGGCAGATATTTTTTAAGTGATTTATTCTGTACCATTGGTAAACCTTGAATTCTGAATAAAGAATTTGTTTCCTAGAAGTAGTTAGAGGCAGGCAGATTCAAAAACATTTTTTCAGATTTAAGTAACCAAGTGCCTTCACCTTGCCTTGCAGGTCTTATCAACCTGCAAATGACACATTTATTAGCTTACTCATTATTTGTATGAATTACATGTACTATTTTTAGTTAAACTATTTCTAAAACAAAGTGACAAGTTCTATTCATGTTTGGTAAACAAATAATTTTCATGGTATAGAAGCAAAGTCCTCGTCCAGAAAGAGGTCATTTGTTTTTTGATACAGTTTGTAATCAGGAGTTTACTCACAGAGCTCTTCTCTGTCAAATGTTTGTCCACTTCCACCAAACAGGCCCTTGAGAAAGCCTCTGTTTTGAGCTTCTGGTGTCTCTATAGGAGTAAATAAATCTCCCAGCATGTCCTATATCAAATTTAAAGAAAAGAGTATTACACTAAGAATAAATTAATAGATCAAAAGATAACATGGTGGCAGGTTACAGCACGTCATGAAAAGGCTAAAAAGTCTGTTCTTATGTTTTCATGGTAATTTTTGCTTAGCTTCCAATTCCCTCTCTCTGGCACTTTTTCCTCCAGCTTCCTCCTTTCCCTTCCCTTTTCCAAGAACTGGCATCCTAAAATATTCACTTTTCTGACCTCTTGTCTTCTTCCTTCTATACTTAGAAAGCATAGGAAGCTAATATTCACCCTAGGATTAAGTTACAGGTTAATCCTGATTACAGAATTCACAGGCTTTATTCCACATACTAATCAGAATTTACATAGATATGCTCCAGTTATCTTTATTTTTAACTTGTTTTAACTTTTTTCTAACTTTTAACTTGCTATAAAATGTTTTAACTTGCTTTGGTCTTTCTGTGTGTGTTAGTCGTTCAGTTGTGTCCACCTCTTTGCAACCCCACTGACTGTGGCCTGCCAGGCTCCTCCATCCATGGGATTCTTCAGGCAAGAATACTGGAGTGGGTTGCCAGTTCCTTCTCCAGGGGATCTTCCCAACACAGGGATCAAACCCAGGCCTCCCGCATTGTGGGCAGACCACCACCATCTGAGCCACCAGGGAAGCCCTTGGTCTTTCTAAAGCAGACTAAAATTTGAGAACCATGGGTTTGGAGGAACTTCAGTGCAAAGTCAGATCTGTGAGCTAGCATCAGTTTGTGTGGGAACTTGCAGGATGCCTGTCATCATCTCCCCCCCTCACCTCTGCTCTTAGACCTGTGCTTTTCCTCCCAAATCCCTTCTCTTTGGAAATGGCTACACCATCTACTTAGGTCCCCAACCCAGAAATACAGGAATAATTATTCCTTCCTTTTCTTCACTCCTCTATCTAATAACCCTCCAGTCCAACCCATCACAGTTTATAGTCATTGAATATGCTAATTTTCTCTATCACTGTTGGCTGTCTTATTTCAAGCCACTATTATTTCTGGCCTTAATTATTTACAAAATAATGCCTCCAAATTGTTCTCCCTACTTTTAGCCTTAACTCTTCAAAACAAATTGTCATACTGCAAGCAGAATATTAGTTTTAATAAACAAATTAGCTAAACCTTTTCAATGACTTCCTATTGTCCTAGGGATAAATGCCAGATTTCTTAAGGAGTTTACAAGGTATTCCAAGCTCTATTCTTGACTAAGTCTCCATCAGCACTCCTTCACTCTCTCCACTTCCCAACTCTGTACTTTGTTAGCAGTTTGCTGAACCTTGGGGCTTTCACATGCCTCTGCTCTGTCAAGAATATTATTACCTTTCCCACCTCCAGCCATCTATTCCCTATGGACAGCTCCTATTCATCCTTCACAACCTTTTTCTAATTACCCCTTCCCTTTTGGTCCATTAACCCAGTCTGCTTTTAAAATGTCTCTCCAGCACTGGCACAGCCATTTACAGACAACCATTTTCCAGAATATTGTGGTTATCTATTTCTCTCTCCCTCCACACTAGCAGGTAGGGACTGGTATCTTGTTTGTGATGGTACTCCTACAGCCCAGCCAAGTACTAGGCATATAAAAAAACTTAAGTATATGTTGAATAACATTTATTATTATTTATTTTTAAAACTTAGTATGTTCCAGGCACTCTTCTCAGTGCTTTACATGAATCTTTCTTAATTCTCACAATAATGCTTCAAGGTAGAACATACAAGTAGATTAAGTAAAATAGCCAAAGTGATATGAGTAGGCAAAATGCAACTTAATAGTTCAGAGCTTATACTCTGAACCTCTATATTATAATGAATTTTAGTCTTCTTTTCTCTAAATTAGGGAGAGAAACCAATTAAATCCCTAGGATGTCTTTTAAAATTTTGTGACATTTACTTATCCAAGATTTTATTTATTCTTTTATATTTATTTTGTTTCTAAGCTCTGCTTACTGCTATGATCAAAGACAAATGCCCATTTCTAACCTATAGGGTATATATTTATTTTGTATGGCCCACAATTAAGGTTTCTTTTTTTTTTTAAGTCCATTAACTCTGAATTGTAGGCAAAATAATAAAAGAAACAGAACAAACATTGATATATATGATCTCCACATTCTCCCACATCCCCTTTTTTCTTATTTTTTTTTTCCTGTGTATATCTGGAACCACACTAGAATTTGGTAGCATCACCAGGGTGAACATATATTCAAAACATATTATAGGGCAGGCATGTTTATTGTCTAGCCTAATATTTGAGCTTTTAGACATTGCTGTCATTCTCTTTTTACAACCACATTCAGTATTTATTCATAAATGACCTACCTGTAGATTATCACACATCTCTTGGCTGTATGTTAACCGCTGAATTTCAGTAGGAGAGACGAGGTATAATGCCTGTCCTTCATTGGTAAAACAGAATGTCCGTGCTATCCTCATGTCTGTCAGTGGCAAATAATTCACATCTAACATTGGGCGAAGACTAGGTAGGCTGAATGGAAAGAACCAAATCCACATCTCAATATCAAGTTGTTAGAAGCTTTCAATTTCTGTAGATAAAATATAGTGAACTTTACATAAAACTAATTTTATACCACTATTTTATGGTGGTTTTTTTTTATGAAGTCTCAATGGTAGTAAACTAGAACTTCATGTAAAATCATTTTCACAAAAAATTATGGTACAGTTCTATTTTAATCCACACAGATTACTTAGCAGATGTCCTTGAAGGTTGAATTAAATGCACTGACCAGCAATTTCAAAATGCTTTGTGCAGAATTTCACAGGTCCCTACTGTTGTAATCTTTTATTATGGCAGAAACATTGCAACTAGAAAGTGGCTGCCTGCATACTTGGTCCACTGTCTCTTTTTAAGGCAGAATTCCTGGGTCCGAGGTTACACACTGATGTCCACCGAGTTCACTATGCCTGGGAATGGAGGGGCTTTCCTCCCCAGTCCTTTACTTCCTCTCTATGCAGAAAGTGAAAATCACCTCTGACTTATGGCACCTATACTGAAGGTGTGATTAATGACTGGGACTTAGAATTAGTTATAAACAGTAGGTCAGAATTTGCACATCCAAATGAACACTACATCTCAGGTGTCTTACTGATTGGCTGTTTTGTTGCTGTTCAGTCATTCAGTTGTTTCTGACTCTGCAACCTGCTGGACTGCAGCATGCCAGGCTCCCTGTCCTTTGCTATCTCCCGGAGTTTGCTCAGACTCATGTCTACTGAGCCAGTGATGCCATCCAACCATCTCATCCTGTCGCCTCCTTCTCCTCCTGCCCTTTGTCTTTCCCAGTATCAGCATCTTTTCCAATGAGTCAGCTCTTCACATTGGGTGGTCAAAATATGGGAGCTTCAGCTTCAGCATCAGTCCTTCCAATGAATATTCAGCATTGATTTCCTTTAGGACTGCCTGTGTTGATATCCCTGCTGTCCAAGGGACTCTCAAGAGTCCTCTCCAGCACCACAGTTCAAAAGCATCAATTCTAAGGCACTCAAACTTCTTTATGGTCTAACTTTCACATCCATACATGACTACTGGAAAAAACCGTAGCTTCGACTATACAGACCTTTGTCAGCAAAGTGATGTCTCTGCTTTTTAATATACTGTCTAGATTTGTCCTAGCTTTTCTTCCAACGAGCAAGCATCTTTTAATTTCATAGCTTCAGTCACTGTCCACAGTGATTTTGGAGCCCAAGAAAATAAAATCTGCCACTGTTCTCATTTTTCCCCATCTATTTTCCATGAAGTGATGGCACTGGGTGCTATGATCTTAGCTTTTTGAATGTTGAGTTTTAAGCTAGTTTTTTTACTCTCCTCTTTCACCTTCATCAAGAGGCTCTTTAGTTCCTCTTCACTCTCTGCCATTATCATTTGCATATCTGAGATTGTTGATATTTTTCCTTGCAGTTTTGATTCCAGCTTGTGCTTCATTGGGCGTGGCATTTCTCATGATGTACTCTGCATGTAAGCAGGGTGACAATACACCGCCTTGACGTACTCCTTTCACAATTTTAAACCAATCTGCTAGTCCATGTTTGGTTCTAACTGTTGCTTCTTGACCAACATACAGGTTTCTCAGGAGGCAGATAAGGTGGTCTGGTATTCCCATCTTTTGAAGAATTTTCCAGTTTGTTGTGATCCACACAGTCAAAGGCTTTAGCATGGTCAGTGAAGCAGAAGTAGATCTTTTTCTGGAATTCTCACTATTACTATCAAGCTAAAATCACTGTCAAGCTAAAATTTTAATTGTGACAACATTGTAATGTCTTTGAATTTAAAAGAAAAATTTTGAGTGACTAAATGTGAGCTTGGGGGAGTGTAAACACATTTTTTTTTCCCCTTCTAAGGTGTGTCTAGGAGTTAAGTCATTATTTTCAAACAAGACTGAAATGGCCCTCTTCAGAAATCTCTAATAAGAATTTGAGAAAAGAAATCAGATAAAGAATAACAAACATATAAGAGAATGAGCAGACTGTAAATGATTGTTTTTATTTTTATTTTTTCAAGACTGCCTCCTCCACTAACTACCTTTCTTTGGCTTATAAATCTACTCATGTCTCCCCTATTAAAGAAAATATAACAATAAAAACACTCTCAAAATCCCAGTTTCACTCCTGAATTACTTTCCTATCTCTCATCTTTTTACCAAAAATTCCCAAAAGAATACTCTGTCTCAGGAGTTGGCAAACGTTTTAGTCAGATGGTAGATATTTTAGGGTGTGTAGGCCATGTGGTCTTGGGTGCAACTACTCAACTCTTGCCTGTTGTGTACACACTATAGGCAATATATAAGTAAGTGGTGTGGTTGTATTCTCCAAACCTTTATGAACATTGAGATGTGAATTTCATATACTTTCCACATATCATGAAATATTCTTCTCTGCTTTTTTCAACAATTCGAAAATGTAAAAACCATTCTTAGCTTGCAGGCTATACAGTATCATATTGGGTGGAGGGTAGAGTGGATATTGCGTGGGGGTATAGTGTGTCAATCCCTGATCTATGCCAGTGCCTCTGTTCTTGCCTCCCTTGAAATTTATTCTTCTCTTCACTGTGCTCCTAAGATTTGCTTTCTCAAATATCACTAATATCTACATCTAGTGTTTTTTCTTGTACCCTAATTCTTTGATCTTTCTGTTCTAACTCTTGATCATCGTTTTGGTAGTCTTCTGTCCTTTTTTTTTTTTGATACTCTTCTATCCTTTTCATGAAGTTCTGTTACTGTGATCCTTTTTCTAGCTCTCTGATGACTGCTTCTCAGTCTCCTTTGCTGGATTTCCTTTCTTTCTGCCACTATATAGATGTAGACATATGCATCTCCCTCAATTTTTGTCCCCAGATCAGTCTCTTTCTCCTCTTTTTTAATACTATCTTCAATGATTTCATTCACTGCCAAGACTTTCATTAATGATTTACATAGATGATTTCCAGAGCTGAATCTCCCACCTCTATTTTTTAAGAATCTAGACTGTAAATTGCTTGCTAAACTTCTTCAAGCTGGCATATAAGCACCTCATATTCCAAGTATTCATTCTCAGACTTATTTTCTCCAAATTCTCCTGGCTTTCTTATCTATTAATGACATCACTATTATTGAAGTTCATGACAAAAAATTTTCACCTCTAAGTTCTCTTCTTACCCTGAGATTTAACAACCTCCATTATCTTTCACAACCAATCGGTTTTACATTCAGAAAATTTGCCTCACATCTGTTTCTACCTGGCCTTCAATGTAGCTGTAACTTCAGTTCAAAAGTCCACCCCAAACTCTTCCTCCATGTCTATTTCTTAATGTGTAGCCTACAGCAGGTTAAAATATAGGGATGATTTTTAGTATACTGTTCAGTGTTGATCTCACTTTTTCCTAGACTTGCAACCTCAGGCAAATTTATTAACATAGGTAAAATAGAGGAAGCAGATAATACTTCATTTCCTATGTCCTAGAGAAATTGTAAGGATAAACTTAAAGTCTGTATAGAAAATTCTTGTGTGTGCCATGAAACATAGTAAAGGTAACAGTTCATTTCTTTTCCTTGTGGTTTATTCGTCTTCATATATCCTGTGCCTGTCATAGCATCTGGGAGATAGGTGCTCAATAAATGTTTGTTGAATGAATGTGTGAATGCTGGAGAATCACTCTTTCCTTAGATTCCTTGATGGCAGTTAACATATATATTTCATTCACAATGCAAAGCATTTTTAGCAAACAAACAAAACCTAAAATAAACTCAAACTCTCCTCAAATTGTTGAGCAATAAAACATTCACAAACATAATGAAACAACGATCTCAGATGGCTTCTTAATAATATCTTGCATGTAATGCATATATTTTTTATAATTGTATCCTGTTTGCACTGTTATGATTATCAGATAATTTATAAAGACAGCACATACCTCATTATCATGATATGCCCATTGGCACAAAAGCATGCCAAGCAGGCACTGTTACACATGACCACCACATCCGCTTGCAGTATAAAAGATGTTTCTGTGATGTTATGAACATAGAGGCAAGTCTGAGAAGGCAGTGAGAAGACTTTAGCTTGTTTCTCTGAGCAGATTATTGTGTACTGATGATCTCCTATTTCTTGGGATGGAGAGGGGCAGTTCATGACCAGTTTCCTTCTGCAAGATTTCTCATTTTCATCTATGTTGTTTGGATCTCTCCAAACTTCATATGGTGGTTGCATTAACCCACCAGTTCGGTCCATACAGGAGAATGTTAGGACAGCTCCTTTCAATGAGAGGAATGTACCTATAAAAACAAGTCCATATCACTGGCACATGAAATTCTTTTTAGAACAGGTGCTATTCATTTATAGGTGATAAATGTTTTTTTTAATATTATGATAATTAATATTTATAATGTCATAATATTGCCATATTACACATAAATCAGTAGATTTGTGAATTTATCAGCTGCAATAACTTGGAATCATAATGGGTAAATGCTAAAAGGAGTCTAAGACATCAACTCACCACATCCTTTCATTATGTTAATAAGAAAACAGATCCAGAAAGATGATGAGTTTTGGGCCAAGACACATACCAAATTAGTGGCTGAGCCTGGACTGGAACTCAAGTTTCCTAATTCCTAATCCAGTATCCTTTCACTATACTATACAGTATTCGTTAAAATACTTTAAAAAAAAAAATCAAATTTCAGAAAATTTACAATTTTAATTTACTGAATAACTTCAACTGAAAAGATAATCATGCCATCTGATTCCATTTCTTTATAGACTTATTCACTGGAAAATACTATTTTTCTTCTTCTGAAAATGAATACTCAGAATGCTTCATGAAATTTAAATATCCAGTTCATGCTAGCAATTTTGATTGTATTTTAAAAAAAACAAACTGAATTTGGTGTTTACTCAGGCTTATGCATCTTTTATACAGAAAAATGGCTTACTCACCTGGATCCTCCAAGGTTGATCATCCATGCCAGATTATTACCTAAGGGCGATTTTTTACCAGTCCCAGAGATTGGATACTGCAAAGGCTTAGGAGGTAACTTGGGATAGATTGACCTTTGGACACTTCCAGACTCTTCCCTAAGCAGTGCCTGAGCAGCCTTTTCTTTCCTTTGTCCTTTAACATCGTGTAGAGAGTAATGGAAGAGGGCATGGAAACTCACTCCAGTATCCTTGCCTGGAAAATTCCACAGATGAGCCTGGAGGGCTACAGTCCATGGGATAGTGAAGAGCTGGACATGATCGAGTGACCAAGCACGCGTGTAGAGAGTAAGGAAGCTATCCCGGGCTGACATACCTCAAGAGTACATGCACCAGAGACTTGGAAAGGGTATTATACAAGTACATTCCATTTAGAAAATACTTTATAAAGTATTAAAAATTTATTAAATTATAAAATTTATAAAATTCAAAGTAACATGTTTAGATGCTTTAACATCTCAGTTGTGTTTTTAAATCCACTTTTAAAACCAAGAAGCCTGTAGATGTCTGACAGGGATAAGGGAGCAGGGGCTCAGGCGCTTTAATCTGAGGGTCAAGGTATGAAAGACCTACCAAGAAGAAAAATATCTGCCAAGGGCTATGATGAATGATTTAATTAATATTCATCTAGGAGTGATTCTTCTATTCCTCCCCCCCCCAAAAAGCTCCCATATTTCCACTGCTGCACACCATGGAAAACTTCTTGAAGTATATATTAACACCCTCAATTTAGAGATAGCCTAAAGTAGGTTAAAAAAACAAGAAATCTACATTTTGGAAGCCATTTTACTTAACGCCTGATGCTTACAAAGTTGTCAATATCAAAATGACTGTTTCTTAATAAGTTGCCTTGCCCAAATATCTGCTTTGTTTCCTAATTTGTGATAATGCCTTGATTATATTCTTTTCATTAGTTTTATACAAGGTTTAAGTTTTCCCTGTACATGTTTGCATGTGTGCTTAGTCATGTCTGACTCTTTGGAACCCCATGGACTGTAGTCCGTGAGGCTCCTATGTTCATGGGATTTCCCAGGCAAGAATATTGGAGTGGGTTGCCATTTCCTCTTCCAGAGGATCTTCCTGACCCAGGGATTGAACCCAAGTCTCCTGTGGCTCCTGCTCTGGTACCACTGAGCCACCTGAGAATCCCACCACTGTATTATTAATCTTATGACTCTGTGTTTTAGTCTTTTCTAACTTAAAAAAAAAAAAAAAAGTTAAGCAAGTCATAATTACAACCTTACTATTACTATTTTAGAAATACACATTACAGGAAGCTTCAATTTATGTCAGGCACTGCTATGTTTCCTTTCATAGGTTACCTAATCCTCACAGCAACTTTATGAGCCACTGTATTATTAATCTTATGACTCTGTGTTTTAGTCTTTTCTAACTTAAAAAAAAAAAAAAAGCTTAAGCAAGTCATAATTACAACCTTACTATTACTATTTTAGAAATACACATTACAGGAAGCTTAAATTTAAGAACTTCTGTAACAAAATGTTAACAGTTCAGTCTACAGTAAATAAATAATTCACAGATAAGTAATGAGGATTTTCCTCTTAAAAGAGGTCTTACTGGCTAGAAGTGTGCCTTACTCTAGTTTTCAAAATTATTGGTCTTTCCTACTAAAATCTTTTTTTTTTGTTTTTGTTTTTTTTTCTACTAAAATCTTAATTATTCAATCAACAAGTATTTATTTTGACCTGAGAAACTGGAAGGATGGAGTTGTCATTAATAGATACGGAAAGACTATGGAAGAAAGGAATATTAGGAACTCAGTCTGGGACATATGTTTGAGATACTTATTAGATCCAAAAGTGAAAAGTGAAAGTGTAAGTTGCTCAGTCCTGTTCGACTCTGCGAGTCCATGGACTGTAGCCAGCTAGGCTTCTTTCTATGGGATTCTCTAGGCAAGAATAGTGGAGTGGGTTGCCAATCCCTTCTCCAGGGGATCTTCTTGACCCAGGAATCGATGGTGGGTCTCCTGCATTGCAGGCAGATTCTTTACTGTCTGAGCCACCAGGGAAGCCCTATTAGATCCAAGTGGCTGTCAAATAACTGGATACCTGTATCAGGAATTTGGGGATGGACCCAGACTATACATGTAAATATATGACCCACAAGATTACAAGTGGAATTTAAAGTAGTAAGGCTGGCTGATTTCATATAGGGCTTGGATATAAATAGAAAACAGGAAAGATTCAAGGAGTCTGTCTTTGAGCATGCTGATTTTAAGTCCAGTGAAATGTAGAGAAACTAGTGAAGGGGACTGAGAAGGAATAGCTATAGAGGTAGGGAGAAAATTGGGTAAATAACGTATCCTGGAATCTAAATGAAAAGTGAAATGTAAGGTAGGGATAATGGTAAGCTGTGCAATATGTTGCTGATATTTCAGGTGAGACGTGACTTGAGAATTGAATTTAGCAATGAGATCAGTGATGACCTATGTAGAGGCTTTTGTTGATTGGTGTGAGAGAAAGTTTGATCAGAATGCACTCAAGAGAATGGGAGAATAAAACTGAAAATAGTGAATATAACAATAATATGCCTTGAATGTTTCAAGGAATCTTGCACTAAAGACAAAAAAGTGAAATGGGGCATTGTTGGAGCATAGATTCAAGGAGGGTTTTTCTCTTTTAATGGGAGAAATAACAGCATGTTTGTATGCTGATTTACTAGATAAATATATAAAGGAAACAGGAAAAATTGCTGGATTGACTTTCTCATGTAGGTGAAAGGGAATAGAAACTAGTGTATAAGTGGAGATGTTCACCAAGTCAAGAGTTTACACAGTTTAGTCACAATAACAGAAAAGAAGGTAGCAATCTTGGTGATGGTGGCAGCTGCTGATATTCTCATCTGATTGTTTTCTCAATGAAAGAAGACATGTTCATTACTGAGATTGAAAACAGTGGAGAAGGTGTTAGAGCTCTGAGGAGAGTGGAGAAAGTATGTAATTGTTAAGGGTGGAGAGAAGACTAAAGTATTATAATTTGACTCCCCAGCAACAGAGGAACCCACCAGAGGTTGTTGATGATTTATTTCAAAATGAGACTACTTAGTCTGATTATTTTTCTCCAGCCATATTCAGCTACACAGGCATAGAAATAAAGTGTATGTTTGTGTGTATACAGTCACTCAGACATGTCCTACTCTTTCATGGACTGTAGCCTGCCAGGCTCCTCTGTCCAAAGGATTTTCCAGGCAAGAATACTGAAGTGGGTTGCCATTTCCTACTTCAGGGGATCGTCCCGACTGAGGGATCAAACCTATGTCTCCTGTATCTCTTTCACTGGCAGGGTGATTCTTTACCATTGAGCCACCTGGGAAGTAGAATTAAACTTATGAACCAGGATTGTGATTAACCATATTATGTATGCATGATGTTATGATTTATGATACATATGTATTTGGTCTTTATCCCTGTTTCTGGTACAGTGCTTCTAAAATCCTTGGAACTGCCTGACAAGAACAATACAGGTGTCTTTCATTACGTTAATAAGGTGATTTTGGAGTCTCACCTAAGGTTGGGGGCTGGTTGCCAGGGGACACAACCAGGTGATTAGAAGGTTAACACTTTTAGCCTTACCCCCACCGCTGGGTCAGAGAGACAAGCTGGAGATTGAATTCCATCCCCATCGGTTTAATTAATCACATCTGTGTAAGGAAACCATATAAAAACCCCAAAGTGGGGTGGTGGTGGTTTGAAGAGCTTCCAGGTTAAGAAGCAGGTAGTGGTGTGGGGAGAGTGACACTCCTGGAGAAGGCATGGAAGTGGTAGCTTCATGTACCTCCCTACATTCCTTGCCCTATGCATCTCTTCCATCAGATGTTCAGCTATATCCTGTTATAAGAAACTGCTAAACAGTAAGTAAAAGTTTTTCTGAGGTTCTGTGAGTGGCTCTAGAAAACTGATTGAACTAGAGGAGGGGGCTGTGGAAGCCTCAGGTCTTCTTGGTCAGAAGAATAGGTGACAACCTTGACTTGACTCGGTATTGGCATCTGAAGGGGGTTACAGAGCCGTTAACCTGTGGGACCACCTCCATGCGGACAGTGTCCAAATTTAGTCAAACTCTTGAATACTCAGCTGGTATCTCAGAGACTTGTTTGTGGAGAAGGCCTCCACTTATCTGGTGTCAGAAGTGGTGTGAATGTCATAATTGTGTGAAAGTAAAGGAGAAGGAGACACAAAGGAAAAACCCAGGAGGAGGGAGGGCTGTTGTTTTTTTATCCCAGCACAAAAAACTGCATTTGTATTAGTATCACTTGTGGCTTGTTAAACAATTTCTCAGAC